CTAAAGCACAAAGCCCAGCGGCATGTACACTTACAGGGGTGTTTCCCGGGTGTGGTTCCAACCAGACCATCGCTTCACCTACGAGGTGGGCACCATCACTCCACGGCCAAGCGCCCCTTTCTACAGAAAAGCACTACGCTTCTGAGCAGCACCAACTCTGCAGAAGCGAAGCAAGGAGATGACTGACTCCGGGAAGGAGAGGACAGGAAGGTCCCTGACACAAACGCACTCTCGTCACAGATTCCCATGCTCAGCAGGTGAAAGGACAGCGGGTTATTTCATAGGTAGAACCTGTCCACGTGGTCTTCACAGATAACACACCCACCTTGTGTTTCTCGAGACTCACTATAAGACTCCCCACGGCCATGACTGAAACCACGGGTCTGAGGACCCAGAGAAACGGCTTCCCCAGGACCGATGAGCCCAAGCTCAAAGGGGCGCCGCCAGGAGCACTCCATCTGCAGCAGCAGTTTCCCAAGAGCCCACGGCTCGGTCCTTTCTGCTGCACTTGCCTGGGTCCCAACCCCAGGGTCCCTGGGTCAGGCACACGCACGCTGTGCAGACTGCCCAGGACTATCAGCCCCCCATGTGCTCCCCACAGTGGCCGAGGGAGGAAATGGATGTTCCTGCAATGCTCCTAAATGTAAAGGTTGCATCTGCCTTTCGTTTCATTTGTCTCAACCCTGTATTTCCGAGTTTCCAGAGAAAGCGCCTGCCTGAATTGGAGTTGGACTCTTCGTCTGTCGAACAGTCACACACTCACTCACAGCCTCCCCTTCCCCCAGCAGACAAGTGGAAATTTCCACTGAAGCGTTCAGTGGCTCGCAGTGGGTGGGGGGAGGGGTTTGGAGCCAAAGCATCCTGGAGCCTTTTTGAAGACAGAAAACAGATCGTTTGGATGCCAGTTCCTGGACTGTGTGGGTCAAACCTTGTTGAATCCAGCTCCCCTGAGGCAGTGAGTTACCTTCAAACCAAGGCACCTGAATGGAAAAGCCCATTTCTATTTTCATCTGCTGGGCCTCTGCACTTGAAAAGCCACTAAACCTGCTGCAGGATCCTTTCAAATGGTGCTCAGCCACTAAAAGCAACGCCCGGGGCCATGCAGCCTGCCCTGCGAGCCCACCATGGACCACCCGCACACGAGGATGGGTCGGGACACTGGCCTGGACTTCGGGCTGCCAAGCAAGCCCGAGAGCATGGGATGAATGCTGGCTGCCGGGAAACTACACGCAGAGTCCGTCTCCTCGGAGAGGGTGCCAGCTCTCCTGGAGTAAGCTGTAGACACATTTGGGGAACGAGTCAGTAAAATTCCACTGATTCACCAGAGCCAGTTATTTTTATCACTCTCGTACCGTAAATAGAAGGGCATCTATATGCTGTCCAGCAACTCTTTGCAATTCACCCCTATTCACATTTTAAAGCCAACGAGGGAGAAGGGACAGACAGAGAAGAAAGACCTCCTCAGTGCTCACATTCCAAAGTCAGCCCAGCTCACCAGTCAGATCAGACCTGGGAAACCAGGCAGAGCCAACCTGGGGCATCTTTTACAAACAACACAGGCCAGCACTGAACTTCGGGCACAGCCTCTCTGGTTCCCTCTCCAGCACCAGAAACCACTCGGTCTCGGTCTCAGTCCAGCCCCACCCAGTGGAAAGTGAGTGCAGGGGAGACACAGGTTCTTCTGCAGGGCGACTGCGTGAGGCCTCAGCAGGGTCCACACGAGCACCTGCTCCCACTGCTCCTTCCTGCGCGCGTGATCCCGCCCCTCACACTCCGAGGAGCACGGTGAGGCTGCTCCACAGCACCCTGCCTCTGCCAGGCTGATGAAGGTGCCCGGGGAGCACATGAAGATACGAAGGAGAGAAAATCTAGGGGGCCTCCATGAAGCACATGCACAGCCGAGAATGAACCCCAGGTCTTCTAAGAACCCTGGCTCCGAGTCGTCCTCTGTAGTTTCTGGACACAGCCTNGGTCTTCTAAGAACCCTGGCTCCGAGTCGTCCTCTGTAGTTTCTGGACACAGGGGGACAACAGGTGAGTGAGACCGGAACCTCCACATGGACAGCTGGTCCAGAAGACCCAAACTCCCCAAGCACCAGCCTGGCCCAAACGGCAACTGGGACATCTGGTCAACGTCCCCGTTCCTAAACGCACACCCCTGGGGGACAACTGACGTGGGAAGTGACTTCCCCTGGAAAAACATTCTTAATCAGTTTTTATTAAGATGATGCCTGAGGTATCATCCCGTCCCTGGTAAAGGAGGCCTGGCCCCAGCTCTGCTCTGCTGCTGGCTGGAACAGAGCAGCATTTTAGAAACAGGTTTTCAAATGGTGCTCAGCTGTACGTAAGCGACCTGTTGCTTCTATCACCCCCAGAGACTGAGTTAAGTAAGTTTCTGTGGATCGGCCTGAGAGCCTAACCATCAGTTGTTCCAATGGGAAAATAGGTTCCCAGTTACAAACAGACTCACAGACACATGTCTGGAATGTGAGTCACCTGCCTCTAAGGTGGGGACTGACCAAGTTAATGTCTGAACTATAATTGTGTTTTTTTTGCGTAAGCTGCATACGAGACCTGCTGTAATAGTAACACCAGGTACAACTTTCAAGGTGCCACCATCCTCCTCGGGTAACCCGAAAACAGGAGGCTATCTCCTGCCTGAGCACTTTCTACCATGTCTTTCAGGCCTACTGGGCACGTGTGCAGGAGGGGTGTGGGTGTGGGTGTGGGGAAAGGAGGTGAGGGTGGGAGAATGGCAGAGGCAGTCACCCTACATGATGGGGTGTCACTGACAGATGCCTGCCTGGCTGAGCCAAGCCAAGGGAACCTGTTATGCGGGGCCTGCCCTCACCCCCTGGCTGGTGCGAGGTGAGCCATATGCAGGCCAAGTCCCCAATTCAACTGAAAACTCCTTGAGATCAGCAACCACGACAATCACGAGAACCATGCTGAGACCTAGGAATACCACCTGGGCATCCCTCTTCTCCCATAAAATGTAAGAGCAACAAACAGGTAACACCAAGCGCAGCACATCAGTGTGACGTCTCGGAGGGCATCGAGCTCACCCATCAGCCAGCTAAAACACGGTCCTACACAGCAGCCTCAGGACTGAAATCGGTGCCCACCAAAGCTCCAGAGCCAGGGCAGGGCATGGCCCCAGGGCTGTTCGGGAAGAGCTGGCAACATCTGCGGGCTGTGGCTCCTGGGAAGGTTAGATCGTACAAGGCTCCCGCGCCTAACTGAGTGCAGACGCCGCGTCTTCGGGTGGAGATCTGTGTAACTAGCATTTCAGAGACAACACTCTGGAAAACATCACCTTAAACAAAAATCCCAGGCATGGATTTATCCCAGAAAAGCAAGCTTAAGACAGGAGCCTCCCCGACTGGGGCTGGGCACCCTTCCGTGTCTATATGTAACACACACACTATACACTTTAAGAAAGCTGCTTCTCCTTTGCTGAGGCTGCGAGTGAAAAAGAACAAATAAACCCTTCACCTAAACGGACGAAGTGACTGCGGCACAGAGCGCGTGGGGCACGTGCGCCTGAGGCCCCGGGATGGAAGGCGAGTGTGTCTCAGCTCTGACTAGGTCCGGGTGTTTGTCCAGGACTCCAATCTGTCCACCCGTGAAAGCAGCAACACCGGCCTACCCCGGCACTGCGCACGCACAGGGGCCGGAAACGAAACACGTCAACACAAAGCCGCTCACACCGCGGTCCTCGGCAGCAGCAGCACCGCCCAGCAGCAGAAGCGATGCACAGACCGCGGCACGCCGACCTCCACACGTGAAACCCTCTCCCGGGAAAGCCTCCTGCTGCACCCCGAAAGCACGTGGGAGCGGACACCGGAGAACCTGGCTCGTCAGTCTCGGCCAAACAAAAAGGCAAAAGGATTCACAGCCGGCTGTTAAAACCAAAGCCCTCTGTGGTTCAGTTTTTAAAAAAATATTACACACACAACCTCCATCCCTCACGGTTACGACTGTGTAGGAGGAACAGCCACTGTGCGCTTCCCGTCGCCTGGCAACGCCTCGGCCCTCCCCGAGGCCTCTGGAAGGCAGGCCACTAGCGCGGGCGAAGCCGGCGAGGGCGAAGCTGGCAGCAGGTTTAGCTGCAGCGAGAAGGCCTCAGCGGGAGACCCTGCCGGCTACCCCGCGGCCTGCCCTGCACGGACCAGGGGCTCCACGCGAGGACCGCAGCGCCCAGTGCGTCCACAGAGCGCGCCTTCAGAGACGGCGGGGACGGGAGGGCCACCACGGAGCTCAGCGAGCAGGAAGCGGAGGCCACACGGCTGTCGAGCAGCAGAGGGGGACCTGGCCTCTCCTCCGGGATCCTCCGAGGAAACGACTGGCTCCCGGGCCCCCTCCACCCCACTCCCGGGAGCCCGGCCGTGTGCGACGGCTCTCCCTCCAACCAGGAACCAGGGCGAGAAGGGGACACGGTCGGGCCTAGGGAAGCTGCGTGCCAACTCGACACGCTGGTCTCAAAGGGTTTCCACAAAGGACAGTTGTCACTACAGAATCGAACCCCTGACAGACGTCTGAGGAAGTGGCCGCACACTGTGAGAAACAATCCCATTTCGAAAGCTGTGATCACTGGTCGAGCGGACACAGTGATCAGGCTCCGTTTACACAGCGCAGCCCGAAGCAGCTCACTCTGCCTGTTACCTGCAGCCTACACGTTCGCGAAGAACGCACTGAGCACCGACGGGATTCAAGGCCAAAGTTAAAGGAACGCCAGGGAAACAGTGCTTAGGTTCCCCAGTGGAGAGCTCCTAGCCTGCTGCTCCCAGCACGGCCTGTGTTTGTGCTGGGTACAGTCTGTGACGGGCCAGCGTCACTGCCTCCCATCCACTGGGGACACAACACTGCTGGGCCATGTACCTGGACACCCCGGCCCGACGGGATCTGACTATGAAATTATAACAATTTCTACGATGAATCAGCAGCATTCTTTACAGAGCTGGCCAAAGACATGGCTCAAAGGTTCAGTGAGAAACTTACCCTCCTCTGCTGTGCCGCTGACTGTGGGCAGAGATCCTGTAAGGAAGCTCGCGCTCACCGAGGTTCTCCAAGTTCCTCACGACCGCCCCTCTGTCCATCAGGGCCTCTATCGTCCGTTTCAAAGCAGCAGCGGTCTCTGGCTGTTTTGTTTTGTTTTTGTTTTTAAAAAGAAGGAAAAAACACATCAGAATCCATGTAAGAACTAGAATGATCAGTCTGGTCAGTTCTAATCCTAACAGCTCTACTGGGGAAATCTAAATCTGAGTCAAAGCAACAGAAACTGTCTTTGGCTACCTTAAATTTTTTTAAAAAAGAGAGAAAAAGAGAGGGAGAGACAGAGAGAGAGACCGACATTTACTGTAAAGATATGCGATAGCTCACAGATACGAAGGGGAATCTGAAGAAGCCGGCCTCGGAGAGTCCAGGGGCAGAGCAGCTCCAGGGTCTGGGAGGCAGGCACTAGGAGCGGCTTCTTCAGGGCGCCTTGGCCAGGACGAAGCAGCACCAATCACTGTCAGTCCTCGCATCCCACGGCTCAAGTTCAAACTCCAGGGAAAGAGCATCCTCTTGGCAGGACACTTTGCCCATCCCACCAAAACCACAGCCGGCGGAAAAGAGGTTATCCCCCAAAGAAAAGTTGGGAGATTGTAACCAGACTGGGGAAAGATGAGTAGGACCCAATCTCTGCCCTCATGGAGCTTACAGTCTGATAGAGGGATTAACACAAAACCCCACGCGAGACCAGGGGCAGGACGCGAGTGGCACTGGGACCAGGGCGCTCAGCGAGGGGAAAGCAGTCAGCTGGGAGGGGGGTTTTACCACCGAAGGCTTAACCGAGGGAAGCCCCAAAGGTGACAGCGGGAGATGCAGAGAGCAAGCGAACCAGGCACCGAGTGCAGCAGAGACTTAAGAGTGAGCTGAGGAGAGAGGAGGCCCCTGGAAGAAGTCAGGACAAGGGAGGTTGAGAAGTAAGATTCCAGGTTGGGTAGAAGTCTATCAATAACAAATGCCTGTTATAAAAAAATCCAAACAACAGACATCCCATCATCCAGAGATAAAAGACTTCACCCACTGGGACGAAGTTTTCCCGGTATCTCTCTGCAGGGGTACGCACAGAGAGATGGGCGCAAGAGGCTTTTCAGGTCAACCCCAGCTAACGGAGAGTGGACAGGGAGGGAAGGTGGCCAAAGAAGCCACCAAAATATGCGGCTGGGAGAGGTGCTAATAGCCACAGGGAAGCAAAGGTAAATGTGGTTTAGGACACGCCCCCCGGGGTGGACCTCTCAGGACGTCAACATCAAGCTCAACGAGAGGGTGGGTGGAATGACACCCCCGGCAGCCCCGGAGCGAGAGCACTGCGGAGGGCGCGCCCGAGAACCTCGGCACAAACATCTGGGGGCTGACGAGAGGACTCGACGCCGGGGCAGCAAATGGAAAAGGTACAAACTGAGTGACAGGTGGCGAACGGAGACGAAGGAAAAGCCACAGTGTGGTGGCCGCATGGTCACTTGGCAAGACGGGGCTGGAGGGCAGGCTGAGTCCGTGGTGGAGGTGAGACAGCAATGACGAGAAGGCGCCAGAAGTGAGGGGCAAACACGTGTGAGCAAAGAGTTCTAGGAAACAGAAAACCTGGGCAAGTTACAGTGAAAGGGAAGGAACCAGCCACAAGGACAAAACGTAAGATGTCTTCAACAATGAAGACAACGCTGGCATGTGCCTTGCTGTGTGAGTGCCACATGCCCGAACTGGCCGTGTTCTAGCGTCACATGCTCAACCTTCACACACACGGAAAAGAAGGGTTACAGATTCGGAGCCTGGGCCCGAGATGCTACTCTAAGGGTACAGGAGCCGGTCTGCACAAGAGCCTGACGCAGGGAGGACGACAGTGACACAGCAGTAAGGAGAGGAGGCCAGAGGACACCTGGGCAGGAAGGGGACACCTCCCGGGCACCGTGAAGGGAGGCAGTGCAGAGATTCTGCCGTGCAGGGGGGCGCCTCAGAAAGCACGCCTTCCCGAGGGTGGCTCTGGATCGAATGAAAAGAAAACTGCAGAACCACCTAAGTGCGCTCCAGGAAGCCAGGAAGATCCACCATTCCCATCCGGGTCCTTCCTGGCGAACGCTGCTAAAATGCTGTGAATGCACTATTAGTTTAAGGGTTAGGTATAAAATTTTTACCTGCATTTCATATTGTAGTCCACTAGAGATTTTAAAAATGCCTACTGAAAATTCTTTTTATCTTTAACCAACCTTATAAAACAAATTTCCTAAAACCAATAAAAACGGGCCAAAATCTCTTTCCATTGACACTAACTTGGTAGAAGGTCCACGGCAACCTGTAACTCCTCACATCTCATTAGTTCACAGACATTTCCATAGTTTTGCAGAAGCCTCATTGCTAACAGCAGGGTAGTATTTCATTTCATTAAAAATGTGATTCCTTGACCTGGCATCGCATCAACTAGCTTGTGATGAGGCGGGTGAACATCTCTCCAAATAAAGGACAAGAGCTCAGAAAACAAACAGAACTTGGATTGATCACTGCTAGTCTTCCGATTAGCTACCCAAATCACACATTCTAATTTTAGTTTGCCTTATTAAAAAGGAATGCATCTCAATACCTCGTCTTGTTTAAATTCCAACTCAAGTATTTATAGGCTTGTGAAAGAAAAGATTTTCTTCTGTCCAAAAAAGGGGATATTAGCTTCCTAACAAGAATGTTACTTAGGGAATTATCAAAACACATTTGTTTGACTTTGGTATGTCAAGGTCAAATTGTGACTGCTTGAACAGACACGTTCATTTCACTGTGATTTCAAATTACTCAAAAGTTTAAAAACAAAGATGAAGGTGGGGTAGAAGTATTTCTTGTTTATTAGGGAGCTCAGCCTGTTCTATATAACTGACCTTGGCACTGTAAATGGGGGGTCAGCAAACCAGGGCCCGTGGGCCAAGCCTGGCTCTCTGCCTGTTTGTGTAATAGTCTTACAGGAACACAGCTCGGACGACTACACAGGGCCCACAGGGCCTTCCTGAGAGTACAGGAGAGACCCTGTGGCCAACAAGGCCTAACTATTTACTTCCTGGCCAACTTCTGCTCTGCAGTGTAACGGGCTCAGGGAAGCCGGCGAGGCCTCCATCCACTCATTCTAAATATACCCGAATAAAACCATAGCCTGGGCCACTGAGCTACAGAAAGTGAATTCCCCATGGGTGGGTCACCCAGCAGACACACAAGGCACCAACCTAAACATCAGCTGACTGCTCAAATCACCACGGCATTCAGCAGGAATTCTACAAAATCACCAGGCCGGCCGGCATGCTCGTGATCTAATCAACCCAGGTCGCCAACTTCAACTTTCCTCATCAAAACAAAATTTTTACACTTAAAAACAAAGTTGTGCTTAACCCAGCACAAGGTTCAGTGTAAAACCCACAGGCTACAGTGAGCAAGTGATCTGGCCGCCATAATCCTCATTTAATTAAACCATTTGTTCCAACTATTCTGAGAGCTGGCCTGGCTGTGTTTCCGATGGGCTTCTCCCGCCATCCGCAAGCAGCTCTTCCCCCTCCGCCTCTGTCACTGGGACACGATGCTGGAAAGGCAAACGGGGGACTGACCACGCTCTCTTGCAAAACTATGGGAGAGAACAGCGAAATGAATGGGGATGGAAACCAGGAAAACGACTCCGGTCCCGGCTCAGCCACTGACGAATCAGTTACACAGCCCTGAGTGCGTAATTAAAATTTACCAATGTTAAATTTGTGCCTCCATTTCCTCACGTGCTAAGTTAGTAGTTCTCAATGAATTTTCTCTCTACAAGTTTCGCATGGACAGCATTCATAGGCCATTCTCAGAACTGTATAACTTGGGGGTAACTGGAAAAGTAACTGTTAGATGCTTTTCAAAGGTCAAAGACAGCCAACACTTGAGAGCTTAACTGCCCCATTATATGCCCATGAATCATTTTTACTAGCCCATTTATAACAGACATGGAGTAACTACTGCACAAAGACTTAACAGGCTTGGGGGGGGGAGAATGGGGGGAGCACAGAGGCACCCAGGTATACAAGGTGTGCTAGGAAAGTAACAAACACTGCAATGCAGTGAAAAACTGTTGTGTGCTCTGCAAAAACAAAAGCACCCCAAGTTGTTAAAAGAATGTTATATTAAATACTGTAGATTCACAGCTCAGACATACCAAGTGGTCATTTAACCGTCAAAGCTATAGAGCTTTAAGAGCTGCTACAGGATGTCTTAGGTGAAAACCACTCGCAAATATGGTATTTTACACGATCACCTTTACGAGAACAGTTACGGGGCTGGAGGACGTGCAGAAGTAACGTGAGTGGCTCAATCAGTTGTAGAAGAGGCGGCATGTACATCCTGACATCTGGCGATGGAGCGACAACTGAACGGTCGGTCTCTCAAGAGTAGGCCAAATCCTGTGGGCATCAGGAGGACAGGGTGGACCTTATGAAGCCATCACTGGGAAGAATCATCTCCTAGGGCTCCACCTACTATTTGCCTGGAATCCTCTCCAAGTGTCTTCCTCAAGACAAGCATTTCCCAGTTGCTCACTGTGAAATCCACCTCCAAAAGGGTAGCCACGGGGATGTGAAACCATCTCTGCAGGTTGAAAATGTGTGACAGGGACATGAAGACGGACGCAGCAAGTCAGCAGCAGGAGGCGGGAGCGCAGGGAGCACGGGTCGGACCGCGGGCTCCGGCCAGGCCCCACGGCGGGACACCCACCTCCAGGAGACTCAGGCGGGTCGGTCAGGGTGCTCGCAAGTGGGTGGGGCTAACACGACAGAAGGACGGGAGGAAGATTCGGACGAAATTCATGTTTAGGGTAGAATCAACCTGGGCACCGAGTCTTATATAGGTGGAAGCCACTGCTTTTTTCCACTCGAGGCAGTTTTTTTTACTAGAACATTAAGATTTAAGTTTCTTCACTCGCCTACAATGGCAAAAATGTGAACTTTCTGGAGCACAATTTAGCGATAAATATTAGTTTAAAATGTGTATACCTTCCATCGCACAGTCACGTCTAGGAATTGACTCCCAAAGCTGCCCTGCCCACGCACAAGATCTAGCTATGGGCACACTCGCCGCGTGCAGGGGGAGGGAGTAAATGGAGACAGCTGCTTGAACAGAAGACCTCTCAGCACTGCTTTCACCGACTGAACAAGTACTATGCAGCCATTAAAACATAGGATGTTCAGTCTTCTATGTTGACATCAAAATACTTCAAAAAGCCCTGGCCGGTTTGGCTCAGTGGCTAGAGCGGCGGCCTGAGGGCTGAAGGGTCCTGGGTTTGATTCCAGCCAGGGGCACGTACCTCAGCTGCAGGCTCGACCCCCAGCCCTGTGCAGGAGGCAACCAACTGACGTGTCTCTCTCACATCGATGTTTCTCTCCCTCCTCTCTCTCCCTTCCACCCTCTGAAAAGCAATGGAAAAATATCCTCTGATGAGGATTTAAAAAATAAGAAAAAAACGCAAAACTTTAATAAAGAAATCAGCGTGTGTAATCAACCTACACAGGTTTTTGTTTTTTCAGAAGAAAAAAGTTAATTGTGTACACACATGAAAGGAGGTCTGGATGAGTACACAGCAAAATACTACCCGTTTTCCCTAAGTAATGAGTGTCCTATTTTTTTTTTAACACTTTGCCGTCATCTGGTTTATTTTACAATGAGCAATGAAAGGGGCAAACTGAGTTTTAAGAACTTCTTCCCCTAACTCTCTGCCAGGGCTCTCTTCCAATAGGTGCCAAAACTGGTGGGTGCTGCTGACGCCCTGACCACGCGCGCTCCTCCGCTGGCTCCGCACCCACGCAGTGTCTAACGGCGTGACAACCAGAGGACGGCTCCCGCGGTGACGGGAAGAGTGCGGCAGAGCCGCGGCATCACGAGCTGCTGCACCTCGGGATCGGGGGAGTGGGAACCCGCAGTCAGGAGCCCAGGCATCTCTGGTCCTAGGCCCAGGGCGGGCCAGGGAAACCATGGTGAGGGGAGAAGTGAGAGGAGCCATGTGACCTGGACTGAGAGTCCCGGGACCTGAGAAATCTAACATTAAAATGTTCTTTTAGGTCAGTGATGAAAATAAGGGGCCCAGAGAAGAATGAGAGAAAAACAAAACTGGAGGAGCAGGAGCACAACACCTGCGTTCGGCACCGGTTACCGCCACGGCACCGAGGCAGCGGGCGCTCAGCCCGGCTCACGGTGCGGGTGTAAAAGCGGCAGGTGGCGGCAGAGCAGCTCCGGCCGGAGGCGGGCAGGATGCCCTGGGCCCGCCTCAGCCTTCGATGCAGCGGGCGCCCAAGGGACCCCTGCAGCCAGCACATGCTCAGCTGTCAATACCAGCATTGCCTAGAAGCAAACAGACTTCCAGAGCTAACCCAGAGTCCTGGCCGGTCTGGCTCAGTGGTGAGTGTCGACCTGCAGACTGAAAGGTCCAGGTTCCTTTCTGGCCAAGGGCACGGACTGGGTTGCAGGCTCGTGGGGCATGTGCAGGAGGCAACCAATCAANTTCGGCACCGGTTACCGCCACGGCACCGAGGCAGCGGGCGCTCAGCCCGGCTCACGGTGCGGGTGTAAAAGCGGCAGGTGGCGGCAGAGCAGCTCCGGCCGGAGGCGGGCAGGATGCCCTGGGCCCGCCTCAGCCTTCGATGCAGCGGGCGCCCAAGGGACCCCTGCAGCCAGCACATGCTCAGCTGTCAATACCAGCATTGCCTAGAAGCAAACAGACTTCCAGAGCTAACCCAGAGTCCTGGCCGGTCTGGCTCAGTGGTGAGTGTCGACCTGCAGACTGAAAGGTCCAGGTTCCTTTCTGGCCAAGGGCACGGACTGGGTTGCAGGCTCGTGGGGCGTGTGCAGGAGGCAACCAATCAATGTGTGTCTCTGTCTCTCTGTCTCTGCCTCTCTCCTCCTTCCGCTCTCTCTGAAAAGCAACAGAAAAAATACTCTCCGGTGAGGATTAAAAAGAAGACGTGACCCACAGAGCACGGTCCTGATCACATGGGATCAGCCCTGTATGAACTTACCACTGTCAGGTGCTGTGTCGAGGTTACCAGCACCTGTAGTTGAACCATAACAGTGTTGTTCCTTAATTAATCCATTTCTTTCTGAGGTCTTAAGTCTAGGAATACCATTCAGAGATCATTTACGGTCAAATTTGGGGGCTCACTTGCAGGTAAGTGACCATTCCTTTCATGATCTGGTAAGTCGAAGGACCATGGCAGAAACGCCAAGGCACTCCCCTGCGCACACTGGGATCATCTGGGGAGCTGTAAAAATGAGATGCTTGGGTCTCACCCTCAGGCATTTCTACTCAGCTGGCCTGGGGATTCAAAACTCTTTGGCACTAGAATTTTTAAAGCGCCCAGGTGCAAATAGAGGTGAGAACCACATTCTAGTAGGAAGGTGCCTGGCTTCTCATCACCCCAAAGATAGATGATTCTGGCTGAACTGCTGTTTATAAAGGATTTTCAGCAACAATCTCCTCCAACTCTAAGGGTCATAAAAGCTCCACTTTGCTCACAGATACAATGGAGCCCTCCCTGAACGTGAAATGGAGAAAGGACAGTCCAACAGGTGACTACTTGCAGTTCGTACCACTTCCACAGCTGGCAACATCATCAAAATTAAGGCCCCCCATGCTTCCTAGTTGAAGGGCACCCCAAACGCACAATCCTTTCACTGGGAGACTTCCTTTCCATCCTTCCCATCCCCCTCCAGATGCACACAGATGAATAAAAGATGGGAAACAGAAAGACTGGCAGGAGTCCTGGTTACTATGACAGCAAGTAAATGAAATGCCAAAGCTCATGAAACTGATAGTGAGCGCCGGAGTCAGGTGGACGTCCCCGAGCTGTGCTGCTCACTGCTCCCCTTCCTGCTCAATTCAGCCCCTGCCGTCGCCTGGCGTTCAGCCTC